ACACACACACACACACACACACACACACACACACACACACACACACAATCTTCTTACAAGGAAATCACGCTTTTTTTCATCTGACATTTTATAGTACCTTCAGCTCTTTTGTTGAAAGTTCCCCTTACTCTCCCAGCCATGTGGTGAGACCAAGTAAGTTTCAAATCTGTAATTCATTTATCTGAGTCTGGAGTGTGGGGGATGGCCATGATTGGGAATTCTCTGAACTATATACAAGCCAGAAACAAAATTGACATGCAGGATATAGATAGTTGAGGTGCATGACTGGAAAGTGGTGGAAAGTAGTGCTACTACTGTAATGGACACTGGGTGAGAATCAGGATCAGAAACAGAATCCAAGAGTCAAACAAAGAGATATATTAAGTAGTTAGGAGGTACAGTGCATAAAGTTTTGTACCTAGAGCTAGTAATACTCAAGTTCAAATTTAGCATGATACACTTACACATATGACTTGGGCAAGTCACTTAATCTCTGACTGCTATCATTATATCCAGGGTCATTTAAACACTCTTCATCAATGTTGTTCCCTTTCCTCTTCTCAATTGAATATATAGATAAAATGTAATTTTAACATAGAATTCTACTCAAGTCTTCCTATTATCAACCCTACCCAGGTGGGACCAGCCCTTTTTTTCAGTTTCTTCTCATTTCTCCATAGCTGGACAAGTGCTTTTAAAGCATTTATCACTCTTCATGACAATTGTCCCTTGGAGTGGCAGAAATTTACATTGTCTATAATCAATATGCATAACAGAAAGGAGTCTTGAAAGTATAATTTATCAACATTCACTCTGAAGTAATTGAAAATGTGATCTAAATTACCAAATTCAATTTTACCCCCAAGGATTTTCTTATGTCATTTTGGCTCAGGTTGATTAGTTTTCTTTTTTTCCTGTTTTTTCTTGGTGATGTGCTCAGTGTCTGACATGATATTAACTAAGCAGAAGATGAAGCTATTGCATAATGGACCCCATTATGCATGAAATGTTCACATTTCAATGGCATGTCCTGACATCATGTAGATAGAGCTTTTGTACAAACTATCTTCTAGCAAATGGTTAGTTTAAGGAAGGCACAATTTTTTTTTCCCGTAAACCAAGGAGTATTGGGAATGGGCTTAAATTGTATCAAGAGGACACATTTAATCTAAGAAAAAACATATTAACAATATAGGTAATTGACTATTGGAGAAAAACCACTGGAAGGAGGGATGGGATATTCCTGAAAATCTGTTATCCGTTATCTAGAATTTAATGGAGATCTTTGTGGTCCATTAGTCAACTCCATGTAATAACTGCTTAGAACCTTCTCATCTTTCTAGGTCAAGGAAACCCTCCCTTTCCAACATTGAAAGAAGATTGACTTCTTTAAGACTTGAAACCACCAGTTTTATGATTATGACTCAAAATTAAGAGACAATTTTGCCATTCATCATTATGCTTTCTAAAATTGTTATTAAAAATGTACTGATCATTTGTCCACAATGCTGTGTAGCCACTTCCTTCATGAACTCAATTTTCATATGAAACAAATATACATTAAAGGGCACAATAGTGCACAAACCTACTGTAAGATCATAATGCCCAACATACTACTGGCCCTGAATCAGCCTCTGTGTGTGGCAAAAGTGCTGATATTTAAGGGATTTTTTTATTAATATAGTAAACTTGTGGGTAAAAAAACTGCTTCTACTAACACAATCTGTTGCCTTCTCTTCCACTTTGTCTTTCAGATTTGCCTAGAACATTGATTTGCTCTGAATCATGGTCCCTGTTTGTGTCAAAGAGAAGACTTAAATTCAGGTCTTCTTAGCTTTAAGCTAAGGCTTTTTTTTTTTTTTTTATCTTATACCACTCAGCCTCTCAATGCCAAAACAAGAAGTATTCATAGAACTACAGAATGTCAGAGCTCGAAGAAACTTGAGCTCATTAATTTACCACTTTAATTTGACAAAGAGGGTATCAAACAGGTGAGGGACCTGTCCAAGGTTACACAGAAGGTTAGGCTGAGTAAAGGTTAGAACTCAATGCTCTGGAGTGCTTTATTTCCATTACTCTACCAAATGCCAGTTTGGAATGAGCATTTTCAAAATCTGAAACAAGACCTTACTGAAAGCAATTCCTGATATAAAAGAAATGGAAAGGACTCACAAATATTTTAAGAAGAGAAATGCAGTTACCACATTTCATGAGATCTCAATGTAGTATATTAGTATCTAAAATATTCTTTGAAATTCAACTCTATTGTTTCTTTTTTCTTTTTATTGTTTTATTGTTTTGTTTTTCTTTTTTCTTTTTATTGTTTTCTTTTTTCACTTTTTTAATTTTTATTGTTTCTGTCAGAGGAATATGTTGCAAGATTCAGACCTCCCTCCTACTAAGAGAGAGAGAGACAGATAGACAGAGATGAATTTGTCATCTACAGCATGAGGGAGTAAGTAAGAATAGGTGACCTGTGATGGACTTAGAGTTCTATATCCATGAATAAAAATTCTAGGCTGGGATAAATGGAAAAATAGTGATTTTGAGCATAATGCTGAGGAACTTAGGATATTGTCAACTAATCAATCAACTGGAAAACTTAAGCATCTCTCATGTTCCAGGCACTGGTGATAAAAAGAAATGTGGAATAATTAGCAGTAATAATAGATGGTATATAGACAGACAGACAGAGAGATAGATAGATACATAGATAGATAGATAGGTAGATAGATAGACATAACATTTATTAAGAACCAATTGTGTACCAGATATTACGTTAAACTGAGAAATACAAACACAAGCAAGACAGTTCCTTTTCTCAAGGAGCTTATAAAGGAGAAAACACACAAAAGGATGGTGGTGAAAACAGAGAGGTAAGGTACTCACAAGGGGTCATAATGTCGAAATGACTGGGAAGTTGTGAGAATGGTCGGGGCCCTGAAGAATTAAGGCAAAAGCTTATATAGCAGAACCTAGAGACCTGGAAGTGTACCCCAAATTTCCATCAATGGAAGGAGAACAGGATGTGGAAAATCAATTCCAATATGAGAGTCCTAAATTTGTTCCTTCCTCTCTGTAGACTCTGCATAAGTCATTTATCTTTTTTTGTCCCAAGCAACTCTCACTCTCTATAATTATTTGAAGATGGATTGATCTTCCTTGGTAAAGGAAATGATTCATCATGAACTCCCTATGCTAAAGACACAACGTATATGAATAGAGACAAAGACAGACAGAGATAAACACAGAGAGAAAGAGGCCATCTCCCTGTGAGATTACCTGCAACTCACCCTCTGTATATCATGTTTATACATAATTGTTTGCATGTTGCCTCCCCCATTAGTGTCTGAGCTTCCATAAGGCAAGTACTATTTTTGCCTTTCTGTGCAGTCCCAGCACTTAGCACACAGTGCCTGGCACAAACAAAGCGCTTAGTATTTGCTGATTGACTGACTCATGTAAGGATATTTAAAATACCATTGGCTTATGAGTTTTGAAACAGTAATAAAGGAGGAAGCATGAAATAACATCTAGATTCCTGGGTTTGGAGTCTGGAGAAATTTGAATTTGAAGCTCACTTCTGTATTTAACTAGAAAGGGAAACATTAGTGAGTCTCTTACTTTGCCTCTGTGAATGTCAATGTCCCCATCTGCAAAATAGGGATAAATATCAGATATGCCTTCCACAGGAGGGTGTTAAAAAACTCCAAGGAGAAAATGAATGAAAAATAACTCATAAACCTTAAAGTACAATGTAACATCAGTTGTCATTATTATTATTCAATGGTAAGAATAATGAAAATAAATATGGGACCTTTGCAAATGAAGATGATAGAAGAAACTGAGGCAAAGAGAAAGAGAAATAACACTATTGAAAAATTATTTCATGTACATTATTTCATTTGGTCTGAGTTAAAATACCACAATATACATAGCAGATATATTATTGTTCTCATTTTGAAGCTAAAGATACTTGAGAAACAGCTAGTTACCTGACAATTTACTGCCTTTTGACCTTGGACAAGTCACTTGCATTGCTTATCCTCTATTTTCCACCCGCTGTAAAATGAGAACATTAGACTTATAAGAAGATGTAAGATACAAGGACTCATAGATAATCTATAAACTCCATCACCACTCTAAATTTAGGACCCTCAACTTATTCAGACTCTCACACAAAAGACAGAGCTGGGCATAGATTCTAGGGTTCCTGACTCAGTTTCCCAACTCTTAATTCAGTGTGTTGTAGATGTCTTTCCTGAATGCAATTTAGTAGTAAAACGATGGATTCCCTGTTTTATTTTTTTTTACTCAATAAGACAAGCCTACAGTTTGTGTTCCTCCATTAGGATATAAGCTCCTTGATGGTGTAGGCTTTTGTTGTACTTGTATTTGTATTCTCAGCCCTTAGAATAGTGTCTGGCGGCACATTGTAATTCCTTGAAAAATGCTTGAAAACTTGGCTTGTTGACTTCACTTCTAAAACAACTGGTATGGGTAAGTAAATCAGCTATAGCAGCTCCTCTATACAATCAAGATAATACAATCACAAATATGTTCATGGTGCTTCTAGAAATGAAAAGGTTAGTGCAGACTATATTTGCTTTTGAAAATGACAGAAAATACTTCCTTAGAAATTAGAATAGAGTAATTGGAAGCTAGTGACTTTGTTAGAAATCAAGACAATGTAAACAAATCCAAAAGAATGAAAAATTAGAAAACAATTGTGAAACATCTCATTGGAAAAACAACTGACCTGGAAAATAGATCCAGGAGAGAGAATTTAAAAATTATTGGGCTATCTGAAAGCCATGATCAAAAAAAGAGCATAGACATCATCTTTCAAGAAATGATCAGTGAAAACTGCCCTGATATTTTAGAACCAGAGGGCAAAATAGAAATTGAAAGAATCCACCAATCACCTCCTGAAAGAGATCCCCAAAGGAAAACTCCTAGGAATATTGTAGCCAAATTCCAGACTTCCCAGGTCAAGGAGAAAATATTACAAGCAGCCAGAAAGAAACAATTCAAGTATTGTGGAAACAAAATCAGGACAACACAAGATTTAGAAGCTTCTACATTAAGGGACTGCAGGGCATGGCGTATGATATTCCGGAGGGCAAAGGAGATAGGATTACAACCAAGAATCACCTACCCACCAAATCTGAGCATAATCCTTCAGGGGAAAAAATGGTCATTTAGTAAAATAGAGGACTTTCAAGCATTCTTGATGAAAAGACCAGAGCTGAATAGAAAATTTGACTTTCCAATACAAGACTCACTTGGAACATGAAGAGGTAAACAGGAAAGAGAAATCATAAGAGACTTATTATGGTTGAACCATTTACATTCCTGCATGGAAAGATGATATTTGTAACTCATGAGGCCTTTGTCAGTATTAGGGTAGTTGGAGGGAAAAAATATATCTATGTAGATAGATAGATAGATAGATAGATAGATAGATAGATAGATAGAGGGCACAAGGTGAGTTGAAGAGGAAGGGGTCATATCTGGAGAATAAAATTAAGGGGTGAGAGAGAATTATACTAGGAGAAGGAGAAAGGGAGAGGTAGAGCGGGGTAAATTATTTCACCAAAAAAAAAAAAAAACCAAAAGAAAAGAAAAGGCTCTTACAGTGGAGGGGAAAGGGGGGAAGGTGAGAGGAATGAGTGAATCTTATTCTCATGGGATGTGACTTAAGTAGAGAACAACATACAAACTCAATTGGGTATGGAAATCTGTCTTACCCTATAGGAAAATAGGAGGGGAAGGTGACAAGAGAGTAGGGGAATGATAGAGAGGAGGGCAGATTGGGAAAGGGGGCAATCAGAAGCAAATACTTCTGAGGAGGGACAGCATCAAAAGAAAGAATAGAAGAAATGGGGGTTGGGATAGGATTAAGGGAAATAGAGTTAGTTTTTCACAGCATGTCTACTATGGAAGTGTTTGGCATAACTGCACACGTATAGCCTATATTGAGTTGTTTGCCTTTTCAATGAGGGTGGGTAGGGGGGGAAGAAGGGAGAAAATTTGGAACCCAAAGTTTTAAAAACACATGTTTTAAAAAAATGTTTTCACATGCAACTGGGAAATAAGAAATACAACAAATGGGGTACAGAAATCCATCCTGCCCTACAGGAAAATTGAAGGGGAAGGGGATAAGAGAAGTGGGGAGGAAATAGAAGGGAAGGCAGACTAGGGGAATGGGTATTCAGAATGTTGCCATCTGGGAGTGAGGGGAGGAGGGAGATGGGGTGAAAATTTGGAACTCAAAATCTTGTAGAAGTAAATGTTGAAAACTAAAATTAAATACATTTATTAATTAAAAAAAAGAAAAAAAAAAAGAAAATGACAGCTTTCCTATCCTGAAAATGCTTCTAAAGGTGCATCAATTTCAAGTCAGTGTTCACTGGCTGGTGAGTCCTAGCCACTTTCTTCTTATTCCTTAACACACACATCACCCTCTGTCCTGATAATCCCTATTCCCAAAGTCTCGAAGTATTAGTAGTCAGTTGAGAAGGAAGATTAGATAATTACACAAAAATTTGAAATTGATAAGCCGGGTGAGTTTCTAAGACAGTGGGTTTCCAAGAAAAAAGAGTGGGTTATTTTGGTGCTACATCATCTGTGATGAAGCAATTCAAAGGGTGGGGGGGGGAGAGAAGGTGGGTCAGCAGTAATTGGCTTTTTTGTCTCTTCTTATCTCTCACTCCTCACCTTTCCTCTGTGATCCCCATGTCTGGATCCGCCTCTTGCCACTGTCCCCACCAAAGAAGACCCAAGGGATCAGATAAAAGCAAGAGGAGTAGCCACATAAATGCAGAAGGGACTCTGCTTGTGGTCACTGCTAGATTGAAACAAATTATATAAAAACTTTATTGAACAAAACTTTAAGAAGGAAAACTTTACCAGTTCTCTAAAGTTAACCATAACATCCTATCAAGGATACAACAGAAAGTTCTGGAACTCTCAGGTTAACTCTCTGCTAATAAAAGAATTAAGATTTTGAAGAAATCTGTAAGTTTGTATATAGTAAAGTTTTATACAACATTTCTTTTCATGGTCACACAGTCCTGCAAAACATGGGACAGATGTAATTATCTTCACTTTGCAAATGAGAAATCAGGGTCACAGAGCTCAACCAGCTTGTCACCAATGGCAATAAGTGGCAAAGCTAGATCCCTCTGATTCTAATTTCTAATCAGATCAGATTTGTAATCTTATCAGATCTAATCAGATCTAATCAACTCTAAGTCAAATCAGATCCTTCTTTTTCTAAGTTCAATTATCTTTCCACTGTGTGGGACAGAGACCACTACTCAAATTCAAAACAAAGACTTAGTTACCTTGCAAGCAGAAAGGAGTTTATTGCTTTCTCATGAGAAAGGGTACGGCCCCTGGTCTCCCTAATGGCACTGGCTAGGCAGGACAAGTACCAGTACAGAAAGCAAGGCTTATTCATACCCTAATGTGAGTTCCTCCTTCCAAACCCCCTCCCCTTCTCCCATTGGCTAGACTTCAGGGGGCACAATGTATTCAAGGAAATCTTCCCCAGCAACAGAGTACACAAGTTTGCCCCCAAGCATGAAAAGGTAGGAAGTCCTGCAGTTTAGGCTGGGGGGGTAGGGCCATTCCACTCCCTCTGCTAAGTGCTCAAAAACAGGGCCTCAGGGGGTTTTGGCAAGGTCAGAAGGGAGTGTGTTTCAACAATAAGATTAGAAGGCCATCTACAACAGGTGCCTCCAATTTCTCTCCTCCCACTCTCTTACTATCTGGCTTCTGACCTTATCTCTCTCCAAATGACCAGTGATCTCCTAATTGCTGCCCTTTGTGAGAAATATTAACAAAAACTATTAACCTTTTGAAGAGGCTTCACTTCTGAGAGATCAGCTATCA